GTGGCGCATGGGATGGCGCGCGGGGCAGCCACGACGCGGCTTAGGTAAGTCGACGCGGGTGCCTAGCGACGGCGCGCTGGTTGTAGGCAGGAAGGGGGCCCAGGCTGTTCTTCCCAGACCTAGGCACCGCGTGGTACTACTTCATATTGAAATCCGCGCCTGACCGTCTCAGGTTTGGGCTTAGCCCTATAGGTTACGGTGGTGGACTGTTACTACGGAGGTTCGGGGGTCGAGGCCAGCATGCGGAGACGAGGGAGCGGCGGAGCGGCACGGAGAAAACTGAGGGGGTTGAGGGCCTGACAGGGCTATCCTTCCTTGGTTTTTGCTGGTAGGCCCAGCAACGGAACCGATTCACAGGACCGGTAGGGTACCAGCAGTCCCCGCCCCTTGTCAGGATTATATATATATATATATATATATATATATATATATATATATATATATAATCCTGACAAGGGGCGGGTATATATATATATATGTTATTTTATTTTATACTATTTTTTATTTTTTTATTTTTATTATTATCCATAGGTCCCATTCTGTTTAGGGGCGAGGTATCGCGGCCGCTGCTAGGGCCCGAGAGCCTGGCCCAGTGGTACACCCATGAACTGATTGGAAGGCAGGCCCGCGTTCGGCCCGGACGGTGGAACTCGACGGGTGAAGCTGAGTGTTTTGGGCTGCCCGGAGCCGCTCGGTTCTGAGGGGTCGCACGGCAGCTCCGCTGAAATCCTTCGGGGCATCCGCTAAAATTGGAACGATCTAGAGAAACTAGCGCGGCCCCTGCGCAAGGCTGGCGCACATAAAATAAGAGCGGGTCCTCTTTTTTTTTTTTTCTCATTGATTGTTGGTCGTACTAGCTTGCAACGCCAGCCACGGCTGGTCGCTCGGTAGAAGAGCGCTAGCATTAGCTGACGCCGATAGAGGGGGGAGTGAGTGTGGGAGTTCCACTACGAGAGGCCCATGAGACGCGAGCGGAGAGGCCATCAAGGGAGGTGACAACTCCCGTAAGGTGGAGGTAAGTCATGCCTCGCGTAGGCCCTATCCTGTCGTAGGGGCTCGCGGGAGGTATGGCTGGCGCACTCGGCCGGAGCGGCTTGCGGAAGCTCCATTAATGTTTTGCGACGAAGGATTTAAACCAACTCCTGGGTGACGCGGCCGGGAGGGTTCCGCACTACCCTGGTGCGGTGTCGGACCGATGCGCTCGACAACGTGTACCCAATGTTCTATATACGTTTTTGTTTTTCTTCCTTTTTCTTTTTTAACGAGTATCGCAAAAGATAATACAATGGGACCCAGGCTCGACAAAACTCGGTGCGAGGTGAAACTCAGGGTCGGCAAAAACAGGCTCGGAGATGGTAGTGGTTCAATAACATAGTTTTTTTTGTGGGATTCCCCCCCNCTTGTGACACACGGGGATGGGGGCAGCCAGCGCTCAACCTGTCATCCACGTGGCTGGCCTTGTACGTAAGAGGTTATGAACAGGTGGAGCTTTCCTTACCTCCTTCCCCTTCCCCTTTTTTCCTTTTCCTTTTTTCTTTTCCCTTTTTTGCGCTCTGATTCACAATGTGACAATATATATATCTTGCTTGTGATAGGGTGTGAACCGACAGTCTGTAGAGTTTTCCATCTGGTGTGGGTGAGTGATAGTCTGCTTTGACTTTTGCCACAGGTACCTTGAGGGCAGTGGTTGGTGCCCACCTCAGGGTATCAGTTGTCGGGCAGTCGTTGATGCTTAACCACAGCCGGGGTTAAATTGGATTATCACTTAGTGTAATCAGTTAGGGGATTCTGCAGACTGTTTTTGAGGGTTCAGCCTCTACTGATTGATGAGGCAGTCAGTGAAACTCCGACGAAAGCCACAGCCACCATCCTTTTCATCTTCCTGCAGACAACGGTTTACCCGGCAGTGCTGTTTGGCGATATGTACATATACTATATGACGATATATAACATATGTACGCAAGAGGTTCTGAACCGGGGGAGTTGTAAGGAAGAAGATTAAAAACGATTTAAGTTTTTCTTGTTTTCCTTGTTTTCTTCGTTTTTCGCTTCGGCGCTCTGATATCATGTGACGATATATATATATCGTCACAAATTTATATATATATCCGGGTTCTTTTTTTTTTTTTTTTGGGGGGGGGGGACGGTTTTTTAACCTCTGTGGCATCCTACTAGTAGTTGGTTGTATCCCGTTGTTCGGCCTGTTGAAGGCTCTAGGCGGTGCTTTTAGGTGGGAATCGTCATCTGGGAGTCTTTTTTGGTTTTTAAAAAAATTAATGTTGATGGTATTCCACTATTCAGTTTAGACCAGCGTATATGACGCCGACGCTGGCGAGCATGAATGGCTTAGGAATAGGAATATACCAATATCTTGAGGACGAATAAGGTCATCTGCTGTATATATGACGATATATATTCATATAGATATATAGATATGTATTTGGGATTTCTTTTTCTGCAGGCAAGAGAGAGAAAGTGGTTTGATATCCTGGTTGGTCTTGTCCCGTCGTTTGGTCTATGAAGATGGGGGAGGTGCTTACATGTGGGACTTGTCATCTAGGATCTTGTTGTCGCCTGTTTTGTTCGATTTGGCTGTTCCCTTCCTCGTTTCTTTGCCTCTTTGCCTTTTGGGTGTGTGCAAGTGGGTCGATATGACTGACACACGGGGGTAGGGGCAGCCGCGCCGCTCAACCTACATCCACGTGGGCGGCCTTGTACGCAAGAGGTTCTGAACAAGGGGAGTCTTGTAAGGAACAAGATTAAAAAAAACGAAAATTTTTTTTCTTCTTCTTTGTTTCTTGTTTTCTTTCTGTTTTTTTTTCGCTTTTGCGCTCTTATATCCTTATGTCCAGGGCGGCGTGAACTGGTCGTTCCCCATAAAGTACGGTCATACTCAAAAACTACTAAACTAGCAGTTTTGTGTATGTATCTGAGCGAAATTACGGTCAGGCCAGGATGCAACTGACTGTAATCACGTCCAGAGCGCGGTCGAAAAAGTCTCTACGGCGAGTACGCCCTAAGACCGACGGAGTTGGGGAAGCAATTACTCGCGCTAAGCGTGGACTGGAGTTTCAGGTCCTCTTCTCCCTTCCTTCTCCCTCCTCTTTCCCAGCGGTCGCATTTCTCTGTGTGTCAGGGCGGAAAAAGGCACTGTTGTTGAGGAGTAGGACGAAGGATCGAGCCCACGACGAGCCCATGCACGCAAAAATCTCTCGGTTCAATCCAATCGACTTCCACTTTCGTGATTGCAGCAGTCTGTGAGTTAACCAATCAATCAATCAATCAATCGATCAATCAATCAATCTATTCCACTATCTGTTGCCCCGCCTGTCTGGTGGCAATAGCTCCAAGCGGGGGGGGAGGGAGGGGACCAAAAATAGCTGCAAAGAGGGGGGGGGGGGGGGATAAAAAGGCGGGAAATTACAGTAGTCATTGTAGCGGGACGTAAGGGGATGACCAATCAATGACGACGACACGAATAAGGTCGAGAGATCCTGGATCGCAAGGTTCGGCATCGTTGCAGTCATCATCGTCATTGTGGTCATCATCATTCATCATCATCATTGTTGATGACAACATCAGAAGTAGAACAAACGTCACGTTCGTGAAGTTGCGAAGTAGCGTCATCATCCAGACAATCAGAAAGAGCGGTGGAATGCAGAGGACGAATGTAGACGTGAAAACGGCGGAATGCAGACGCATATGTAGACGTGGAGAGGATATCACGCACAGAAGAAGGCCAGGGGCAGATGAATGAATGTAGACGGAAAGACGTGGAAGATCGAAGGGTAACAGCAGAAACTCGCAAAACCATACGAAACGACTACATACACTTGTCGATTAGAGCGTCAAGAGGAGCAGAAGCGCGGGAAGAGGAGCAGAAGCGCGGGAAGAGGAGCAGAAGCGTTGGGAAGAGGAGCAGAAGCGTTGGGAAGAGTAGCAGAAGCGCGGGAAAAGTAGCAGAAGCTTGGGGGGAGTAGCAAAAGCGCGGGAAGAGTAGCAGAAGCGCGGGAAGAGTAGCAGAAGCGCGGGAAGAGTAGCAGAAGCGCGGGAGGAGAGAACCTATAGTAGCAGCATCCAATGCGATGAATAAGTAATATGATGGATGGATAATGGGATTGATGGAAAAGCGTTGTCGTCACCCTCCTGAGGGTGGGCAAGGTGTGTTCGTTTGACTGTTGCTGTCCGGGTCCCGGCGAAACCGATGCTGCTGTACGGACAGACTGCCCATTGAGAAGAAGACGGATGGATAGATAATATACGTTGTCGTCACCGAAAGAGCTGTGCACGCAATTGCGTGTCCTGACGGCTGCACAAATAAAAGAAGTGGATAAGATCCAATCTTTTATCTTATATCCACCACGTCGATCTTATTTGGCGTTGAGATCTTATCCATTTCTTTATCCATAAGATCTGAAAACCAGATGAAAGAAGTGGATAAGATCTGAACTTCTTTATCTTATCCGCTACTTCGATCTTATGTGGCTTGTACATCTTATCCACTTCTTTATCGATAAAACCGGAGCAGACGCTCGGGAAGAGTAGCAGAAGCGCGGGAAGAGTAGCAGAAGCGCGGGAAGAGTAGCAGAAGCGCGGGAAGAGTAGCAGAAGCGCGGGGGAAGAGTAGCAGAAGCGCGGGGGAAGAGTAGCAGAAGCGCGGGAAAAGCGCGGGAAGAGTAGTAGAAAGCGCGGGAAGAGTAGCAGAAGCGCGGGAAGAGGAGCAGTACTGGATTAGATCTTTTTATCCACTACTTCGATGTTATTTTGTCTTGACGATCTGAAAAACAGATAAGATTTAGTATAAAGACGCGTATAAGATCTCAAAGCCAAATAAAGATCGAAGTAGTGGATAAGATTAACAAGATACGTTGTCGTCACTGAAAAGGGTGTGTGACCACAATTGCGAGTCTGGACGGCTACGGATTAAAAGAAAAAAAAAAGTGGATAAGATAGATCTAAAGCCAATTAAGGATCGAATCCGATAAGAATCTTTATCCAGCCCACGACGCCAGATAAAGCCCAAAGATAACGAATCGAAGTGGATAAGATTAAAGATTAGCAATCATGCCAACGACGGTGAAAGACGCGATCCGAATGTTTGAGGAGGCGGAGAAGATCAAGGCCGCGGAAGCGGAGAGGGTGCTGCTGTACGGACAGATTCCGCCTATTGAGAAGATGGATAATAATTTGTCGTCACTAAAAATGTGCACCCAACTGTCTCTGTCGACCAACAACATCGACAAGATCGCAGGTTTGTCGGGATTGGAGAATCTGAAGGTCTTATCCTTATCTAGAAATCAGATCAAGAAGATCGAAAACCTCGATGGGGTGGCAGCAACCTTGGAAGAGTTGTGGATCTCTTATAATCTCATTGAAAAGCTGACCAATATCGAAAAACTTGAGAATCTTCGAGTGCTGTACATATCCAACAACAAGATCGACTCCTGGGCGGAAATCGAGAGACTGGCGCAGCTTCCACAAATAGATGAGCTGTTGTTGATTGGCAACCCGCTATACGACAAATTCAAAGCGGAAAATCCGCAGGTCATTGGAAGCACGTGGCGGTTGGAAGTGCTAAAGAGGATACCCAGACTCAAGAAGTTGGACGGGGTCCCGGTGGAGCAAGAGGAACTGGACGCCATCACCCAGGCCGCAAACAAAATACTCGATTGATTGATTGTGGGACTACCACCAATGATTAGTTTTTCTTCAGTTTTGAGTGGATCTGATTCGGTTGGGTTGGGTTAGAATTGGACTGGGTTGGGATGGATCGGGATCGGAATTGGATTGGAAGTGGAGTGGAGTTATGGTCACGTCACCTCACGTAAGTAGCGGGAACTAGTGCGAGTATGCACTCCATGGGGGTTTCTCCGTTTCACCTATCACAGGTCTCTGTGTATTTGCTCACGTGCTTCCTTGCTTGATTACTTGATGATGGCCCCGTGGTAATATACCCGACCTAGCTGTGATGGTTACGCCTCTCTCTCTCTCTCTCTCTCTCTCTCTCTCTCTCCTGTCTCTTATACACATCTAGATGTGTATAAGAGACAGGTTTTGTATGGGAACCCTCTCAGCCTCATCAAGCAGGATTTTGGCGTTCGATAAAGAAAGCGTTAAAAAACATGTCTCTCTGCCTGAGTGCGTCAGCTACATCTCTCACGAGTTTCTACGACAGGATAAGACCTCACAAGATACAAGGTACCTCCACCCTTAGACATTATTACCATCGCTTGGGTGGATGTATCTCCGTTGAGTTACTAGTCCACGTGTAAAAGTTTGTATATGAAATCGTAGAGGTCGGTCAGCCGATGATGTTTCTCGTTCGCCAAAATATAGAGGGTGGGGGTGACTAACGCCCGAATCGAACCCATGCGCGAAATGATGTTTGAGGCGTTGATCTCCCAAACGTGAATTGACGCTTGGGGCAATAATTTCCCAAGCATGACTCTATGTCGGTCGACTTGAACGACCAGTCTAACCACTAAATACTTTTTCTCATAAATCTTCCTTTCATATAGAACTCGTGCCTAGTACATTTTTTCTATTTGTCTCCTAACTATTTCGGTGTTTGACAGTCAAGCTTCACTTCCGAAACTTATCATAAGTAGCACAACGACGCTAGTTTCATCATAAAAGTTATCATGTGTAAGAGCATAAGCACTCAACATGACTGCATACTATGTGTTATCTATTACCACACAACTTTCAATGATTTCACGGGTCGCATTTGATCCTCAAGTGTCGGCCGACATGCTTCTTGAGGGGTTATTCATGTGATACTAGACAATCGAAGATGTGGTTGAGAGTTCTACCATTTTTTGCACCCTGTGCAGAAGAGTGGTAGGAGTTGCTCTACTAACAAGTCGTGTGCTGCGATTTGCGATACCCGGACCTTCTTATCTGTAACATTCACATCCACCAAACAATTTTGAACAGGAAAAAATCAGTTGTTGCCCATGCATATACGTGCAGGTCGTTGTGGAAACTAGATCACCGCTCAACGTGCGCATACACTCAACTAAAGTAGTTCTGCGCTAAAATCCATAACTTACATCATATGTGAGAAACGAATTACAACATGGGCAAACAAAGTGAGTGAATGTCAGTGGCAGAAGAGGGTTGAGTGACATCAGGCCCGGTAATCACTCTCATAGTTATTCGTGTAGCTTGTCCATCAGCACACAAATGAAATAAAATATCACGACTCGAATTCAACGCTTCCACACATATTTGCACCCACATAATTTCAACGATCACATACCACGCCTTGACGTGGCCAACTTAACCATTCCTCATACCCCACGTCCCGCGTCAAAACACTTCAAACCTGGTTATTTCCTTCCTCTCGCAGGGAATCATTTAAACCTTTAGGCAAAATTTTTCACAAAATCGGGCAAAACCTCAACGATCACTCGTTAATCCCTAGAGGTTTAAGGTTTCAGGTATGAGGTGCAAAAATATGCAAAGTTAAGTCACAAACCAAACTATATCAAATGATAATAGAAGGCGACAATCCTTGACGGATGAACCTGAAACTAACTAACTCCTCACTCGAAAGATGGCATATGTCACATGACAACTTAAAAAAATGATTGTTATACTCAATACGTACGGAGGAAACATTTTATATTACACACGAATCCTCCTCTAACTCTCTTTCTATCTCCCTCTGATCGACACCAGGGTTTGGTGAATTTTTTGATAGCACTTTCTAGAGTTACGGTAGATTGTCAAAATTTTTTCAACCTAATATTTTAATAAACTCTTTAAATTTTCTGAAATTTTGGCAACATTTCCTGTAGCAAAGTGAACTCTAAAAATTTATATTGAGCTAGATATAAAATATCAAAATGCTTCCTGATTTTTACAAATATAATTTCGTATAGATCTATGAATTAACAAAAAATTCGGCAATATTTCTATAAAAAACTAAAATTTTAAAATTTCACTAAGTTGAAGATGGAGTTATAACAAAATTTAACTTTGTAAAAAAAACTTTGACTAACTTTTTAAACTAGTAAGAATTTTGACAGCATTTCCTTTATGAAAGTGCGTTCCTAAATCTTTACTAAGTTAAATACGAAAGTTACAGTACATCAAAGGTATGTTTTGTCTAACTTTCTGGTTTAGTAAATATTTCGCTAACACTTTCACTAAGAAAATGAACTTTCAATATTTTTACGAAATCGACTACGGAATCTGACTTCAACCTAACTTTACAACGATCAAATTTGACGAACTCTTTGAATTAGTAAGAGTTTCGACAACACTTCGCCTATAAAAATGAATTTCTAAAATTTTAACTATGTTAACTTTTTTAACGAAAAAACTATTATTGGGCCTAATTTATGACAAGTAATTTAGTCATTAGATCTAAGGGTAACCTCCATGTATAAAGGCTACAACTAGTTCAATTTCAAAATAAGGTCAATCTGTTTTGTGTCAAGTCTCCACCCAATTATCATTACTTTGTTTATCGTTTCAACACTTGGCGAGCGTCTAAGTGACTAGCTATCGAAAACACGCCTCAAGCGAGTGCCCTTAAATAGCAGGCGACTACAAATAACATCTCTCGTTAACCCACGACTTATTTCTCAAATATGTAGTTCGTTTGTCTCTCATATTATTAACCCTCTTGTCTCTCCTTACATACAAAATAAGGCTAGACCACTCAACTTAGAGGCATGTCCAACTTACCTTAATTTTATACAAATGTATGGCACAACAACTTTTTCCTTTTTTTAGGCGTGCGACTAAACCACTCAGCTTAAAGATCCAGTTTAGTCAACCTTAGTGTGTTTAATAGTGAAAATTTATTGCTTGTTATCCACTTGTGTTATAAGGGACATATGACTGAATCATCTGACTTAGAGACGATATTCAGTCTGTTTCGTTACCCTCAATTTTATATTTTTAGCTTTATACTTTTTTTTATTTATCTGATGATTTGGCTTATAGATAAACCGCTCATCTTAGAGACTACGTCTAATTTAATTGTTGTATATATATAAATATATAGAAAAACTTATCAAATTTATACTCAAGTTCAATTTTTTTAAGTTCGCGGATTCAACTAGACAACTCATTTTAGATATAATGTATAAATTTCTGCTTGAATTTTTTTCAAAACAAAACAATGAGTGTAATCACTAAACTTAAAGATAATATCAAACCCTTTTCAGAAAGCAATAAAAGTTAAGGAGTCTAGGCCACTCGGCTTAAAGACATGTACCAACCCATTTAGAAACCTCCCAAATAATCATTCGGTTCTACCACTTAACTTATAAACATATCCAATCTCTAAAGATCAACCGTACAAGTAAAAAACAAGCAACTAGACCACTTGTTCAAAAGGCAATGTCCGACCCTTATGAAATTAACTAAGGCAAAACATAGCACTAGATCACTCACCTTAAAGATATGCCTAACCTTTTGCTGACCCAGTCAATAAGTAAAACCCCTATCTTAAAGTGTGTTTTTTTTTCAGATTCTTTGAATTTGAAGCCCAAGTTGCTGTAGAGGTGGGATGGTAGACAAATGACAGTCACTCACAGTACTCGCGCACTCGATTGTCCAGATGAACCCCTATGAAGACCCTATCCTCCCTTCCTCTAATCCTTTTGCCCTCCCCCCCCCCCCCCCCCCCCCCCCTTGTTCTACATTAGTGCTAAACCACCAGTACTTAGCCCAGCTATCGGCCACAGAGATAATAGAGTAGAAACATTTATAGTCAAATCAATTTGGACGCTTTTGTAGTGCTCCGTACGTTTTCACAAATTATTGGTGGTTTAACCACCTAGGATGATCGCCCATCACCATCTTGGCGGTGTGACCTGACCAGACAACGGTTGTAGGCACCCGGGCTAAGCAGAGACCTGTACCCCCTGCTCAGCCCCGGTTAAAGCATACGTCATGCAAGCCCGATTGCATGGGGACTTCGGATGGTAGGTATGAAAATGCTACAACAGGTCTTTATGAGGGTGCACAATGACTCTCATCTAGCGCAATTGACAACCTAGTTGATAGCCTAGTAGATAGCCTAATTGATAGCCTAGTCGATAGGGGGATCGATTCCCCTAGTTGATAGGTAAGTCGATGTCCTAGTTGATAGATGAGTTGATATCCCAAGTGATAGCCTAATTACTAGGCCAGTTGTAGTATAAGACCGAGAGTTGAAGATCCGCCACTCCCTTGTAGGACCTTAGCCAGTACTAGGGTGACAGTACGCCAACCACACTACTTCCGACCCTGGACCTGTGCCTGGAGTCCGTTCCGATACCTCGATAAGTCTGTACTAAGGCGACAACATGCCACCCACACTACGAGAACCCCCTGCACCAGTATCTGTTTTGGTATCGTGATAATATAGGGGGCAAGAAGTGGTTCTTGTACGAGTGTCGCAACATTTCTTACTAGTGGCAACATTTGTTAGTCGAAATGGTGAAGCGAAGTTCGAACCAGTCTGCCAATAGGGTGAGAACTTGTCTGCTCCTCCGTGGTCACGAGGGGCCACACGGTAAGCCAGGAAAACAAAAGGGTATGATCGTCACGCCCTTCGCAATTACGGACGCCTGACCTGCCCTCGCCTGCAAGTTAGAACGTCCATTCGTTGATAACACGACAACATGCAAGCATGACAACGTAGGACAGGCACAGGCGGGGACAAGAAGAAGGCAATAACTCGACAAAATCCGAACACAGGTTGTGCGTTGCTTCGAAAAAAATATACTCGTACAAGACAACGATGCA